CTCTCTCAAAAAAAAAAAAAAAAAACTGTTCTTGGCATTCGTTTTTTTCCCTCAATTAAATTTTGAGTGAGGGAGAAAAGTACCTAACCAGTTTATCTACTTTATAAAAACACTAAGGTGGTTTTGAGCAAGTATTTGGGGCCTGGATGTGAAGCTGTAGGAACTAGTTGATCCTATAGACAGCATCACTGAGCATATTCTCTGATCTGGTCTAAAAACAATCACTTGTGAGCAGAAGTTGCAGAGAGATAAGGTGTAAGAATTACTTAAAGGAATGAATGAATAGTGAAAGGTCAAAATTGAAATTCCTGAGTCATTGTATTTATTGAACACCAGATAATCTGAGCCCAATGCAAAGATGTAAGGTTAAATCAGATTCTTGCACGTGGAAGGATTATCTTTGAATAGGGGACCTAAAATCTGAACAAAAACACAACTATAAAGAACCTGGGAGAATTTGGTTTTCTACCAAACTATTAGTCATCTGCAGATTTCACTTGGAAAATGACTTCCTAAAAAGAAGAGAGGAATGAATATGTTGTACCAGTTGTTAACTCTCCAGAACATCTGATTTGGAGTATGAGAACAGAAAACTCATTCCTATGACAATTCCAAGTCATGGGAGAAGATAACAAGAAGTGGTCTAACTATGGAAAATGTGAAGAATTAATGCAGTAATCAGCAAAGAGAAGTGGTACCTGGTAAGTGTTGAGAGAAGGGAAGGGTGGGAACGACTCAAGGAAGTGCAGGGGCAAGTACAGAGGGGCAGTTAAACAGGAAGAGAAGGTAGATGTTTCAAAATAGAAAAGAAGGTGCTAGACTAAGTCTAGTTACATCTTAGTCCATCCATAGAACAGTTTAACAAGTGCGGTATCTGAATGGCTTAAAAAGAGGTCCACAAAGTCTTCAGTACCCCTCTCTTTGAAGTTTGAAGCCTGATCCTCTCCCTCGAGCAGAGACGGTACTTGGCATCTCACTTCTAGTGAAAAGAATGTGGCAGAAGATTCCAAGACTGGGACATAAAAGGCATCATGGTGTCCTCTTGGGTCACTGGATCTGGAGTAAGCCAGCCGCCATATTATACAGATACTCAACTAGCCCCACCGGAATGCCCATGGATGGCTCCTGTGAGCATCCCCAGTCAAGCCTGCTGACTGCAGCCTCAGCCTGCATCTTGATCACACATTTCAGAAACATGCTTCAACCTAGAGTACTCCATCCTACTATCAGTACCCTACAGCTCATTGAGCAGTTGCATGTGACATGGTTCTTTTTCCTCTGATTTCCCCATGTCTGATTCAGAAAACCCGGCGTGGAAGGATGGGGAGAACAGGACTGACAGCATTGCCTTCAAGGGAGCTGTTCCCTGCCTCGCACTCTCCATGGCCAGAGTTGTTGGAGGTCTCGAGACACTCCCTCTCCAGCAGATCGAGGGACTGGCTCCATCTGAAGTGAAGAGATGTCAGTGTTCTGCTCCCGTGTGTCCCAGCTGTCCCATCAGGGGAAATTCCCCACAAGGAATGTCTGAACAGAATCAGAAAGCCATGACAGACTGGGGTGACATGGAACACCGTCTGTCATTGGACTTCTTTGCCCATTAATAATTCACAACTTTTTCTGGTGGCTTTGGACATTTGTCTGTGTTTCCATTACTGCTGGTGGTTGGCATAAATTTTATTTCAGTTCTCAAACTACATCAGATTCACAGCAACACAGATGGCCAGGCCCCACCCAATAAATTTCTGCTTTAGCAGGTCTGGGGCAGGGCCTGGGAATCTGCCTTTCTAGCAAGTTCCTGGGTGGTGCTGATGCTATGCTGTTGGTCTTGGGAACATGCCTAGAGAAGCCTTCAGATTTCCCTTAAGGGTGTCTTACAGGTTAAAAAATTTGAAACCATCTGACTGCTAACATGAAGCCACAAGTGAAAAATTCCACACCATGAAACTATTTTATATTATATAAAATTATTTTCCTATGTATATGAGATATCCATGGAACATAAATGAATTTAGTGCTTAGACTTGTGTCTTATCCCCAAGAGTTCTTATCATGTGTTATGGTTTAGATATGAGATATTTCCCAAAAACTCATGTGTGAGACAATGCAAGAATTTTCATAGGTGGAATGATTCCATTATGAGGTGTAGCCTAATTAGTAGATTAACCCACTGATGTGGATTAACTGGGTGGTAACTAAGCAGGTAGGGTATAGCTGGTAAGTAGGTCCTTAACAGCATGCCTTTAGGGGTTTTATATTTTGTCCCTAGTGAGCAGAGGACTTGTACCTTCATCTTCTGCCTCACTCTGGGCCCAGAGCTATAGGAGTCAGCCATCTACGGACTGAGACCTCTGAACCATGAACCCCAATTAACTTTTCCTCTATATTGGTCTTGTCTTTTGGCCGTAGCGATGGAAAATCTGACTCATATATTATGCATGTGCATAGATTCCACATTTTTTTCTAAAATTAGAAACATTTCTTGTCCCAAGCATTTTGAATAAGAAATACTCACCCTGTAATGTGTGGGCTAGTGTGGATTATTCATTGTCAGATTTCCTAAGGATTGTTTGCTCAAACGGAATAAAGGACACTCCTAAGCTTTCAGCACTCCTGTTTGACGTAAGTTGGTGCTGTGTCTTTAAGGTTTCTGCTCAGGAGCCCATGAATTTAAAAATCGCCTTTTCTGCTACATCAATTTTTACTGCTGTAACGCACATGTGCACGCAAGAGCACGTGTGCACACATACCATGAGGTTAAGTTGAGGAGCTCAGATTAAACAAATCTCCCCACTCAGAAAGTCATCTGTTGATCATTTAGCTTAATTAGCATCAGGTGTAGCGCATATTTACCGTGACTCACTCCTACCTCCACTAAAAACCAGGCTGCTTTATGTGTGGGTTGATTAAAGTATCTATCAAAGTAGCTCAAGGCCTGGCTCCTGGTAAACCTCAAAGTGAGACGCCTGCATCTTAAAGGCTCAGCTTCTGACAAAACGCACACATACTTACAGAACATGAACATCAAGGGACCTGGAAGCGCAGTAAAACTTGGGGAAACCTGGAGCCTTAGGAGAGGGTGGAGCATTTCATGTATGCTGTTGTACACAGTGCTGTGGCTCGCCATGTGTTTCTCCTGTTTCACTGGGGTGGGTGACAGAGTCACAGTGAGGATGATGATGCTCATGCCCAGGCTTTGGGAGTAGGTGATATATCTTTGGGGCAGTATCTGTTTTAGTTTGTTTTATTTTCAGAATTATACATGGCAACTAACTTGGATGGTAGCACTGAGAATACTGAAGCTAACTGTATCCTTCTTGTTGTTCACCATGAAAATAGTCATAATTTGAGAATTGTACTGTCACGTGATTAGTTAAACTGTTGATTTGGGCTGTTGAGAATACAGTAGGTTTCTTTTTATCCTCAGTTTTGCTTTCTTTGGGTTCAATTACCCTGTCAATGGTGGTCCCAAAATATTAAGTGGAAAATTCCAGAAATAAATTCCTAAGTTTTAGATTGCCCATTCTAAGTATCATGATGACATTTCACACTATCCTTCTTCATCTTGTGCGAGACTTGTCACCTCTTTGTCCACTGTATCCATGCTGTATACACTATCCACCAGTTAGTTTCTTAGTAACTGTCTCAGTTATTAGATGGACTATCAAGGTATCACATTGCTTGTGTTCAAGAAACTCTTGTTTTAATTAAGAACGGCCCCAAAAGCAAGAGTAGTGATGCTGGCAGTTCAGGTATGCCAAGAAGAAGCAGTGAAGTGCCTTTTTGAAGTGAAAAGGCAGAAGAAAGTACAATAAGGTATTCTGAGTAAAGGGAGTCTCCATTCACTTAACTTTTTTTTTTTTAATAATACATTGTTATAATGATTCTGTTTCACTGTTAGTTATTGTTGATAATCTCTTACTGTGCCTAATTTCTAAATTAAATGTTATCATAGGCATGGCTGTAAAGGAAAAAAAAAAAGACCATATATAGGGTTTGGTACTAACTGCAATTTCAGGCCTCCATTGGGGATCTTGGAACACCTGCCTGCACATAACGGGGGCTTGATATATTATAGTTGAGCATGGGCTGGTTGGCATGCTCACACACACTTCATCCTCTTACGCACACACAAAGCTATCTCCCTAACTCAGGATTCCCTCTCACTTCCAGTGGGGATTCACTCCCCACCGGAGTGCCACTGGACAGAGCTTACATCCCAGACACACCTGCATGTGTGCACACACAGGTCCAATGCTGTGTGGGCATGGAGCATAGCCAGGGTTCAATACATAATTGTTACTTGTTAAACTGATCAATATTTCTTGGTTTACAAAGAGTATTTCTTAGTGTCCTTCCTGTATGCTTTTCAGTAAATGAAATAAAAGGCCAATTTTAATAAAAATAATGACATTTCTAAAACATACTGTAATGCACTAATGTAATATAATACAGAATTTGAACATTTCTCAATAAAATCTGTGTTCAAACCCTGGTGCAGCCCCCTCTGGGATGAAGTATGATTCAAATGTCACCAGAATTTTTCACTGTCCTTCAAGTATTTATTGTTAAAAGCTTAGAGTTAGAAATTTTCGATGGCTTAATTTCTAATAGAAGTAAAATTTCTAGCTGTGCTTTGCAGGCAAACTACTTTGAGTAATTCCTAGTTTGCCACAAACTGTCTGGGAAATGCACACTTCATGTTCCTCCAGCACCCGGGGAGCACGGTTGGTCTTACTTCTATAGCCAACAAGCATTTAGCACTGCAGCTGTGCTAGGCCAAATTCCATCTGTCTGTGATTCGGAGGGTGCGATCTTGGTGGCCCCTGGGTCACCTGGTCATCAGGCAGGGTGTTCCATAGTGACCTGAGACCCAGCTTGGTGAGCTGGATGGGGATCTGGATTTAGTAGGCGGGTCCCGCGGGCCCCAGCATAGTTAAGGGTCGGGCCGTCCCCGTTTTCCTCTGTGCCCGGTGGTAACTCTCCTCCTGCTTCCTCCCCAGCCCAGTGACTTCTCCGTGTCTCTCAAAGCGTCAGGGAAGAACAAGCATTTCAAGGTGCAGCTCGTGGACAATGTCTACTGCATCGGGCAGCGGCGATTCCACAGCATGGACGAGCTGGTGGAACACTACAAGAAGGCGCCCATCTTCACCAGCGAGCACGGGGAGAGGCTCTACCTCGTCAGGGCCCTGCAGTGACAGTGACGGCGGCGGCGGCGGCCTCCCGGGCCCCAGCCTCCCGGGCCCCAGCTCCAGGGCTGCGCTGCCCCCTCGCCTCCCTCCGGAGCCCTGCGGTCGCCCACCCGGCCGTCCTGCTGCAGCTCCGCGTGCCAGGCACTCATCCCGATCGGCCTCCTTAGCCTCTTCCCCTGCGCCACCCAAGGCCCTCACGGCCACGCCCAGCCCACAGCCTCCTGGGCCACTCTAGAGGACGGGAGGCAGAGGGGCGTGTCTGCCCACCTCACTCCTTTTCAGCTGGAAACAGCCGTGGTCTGTTCAAATCGGTCACACTCAGAACTCCCCACTCAACGACATCGGGGGCAGTCGGGGGGCACCGGGCTGCGCTCAGCGTGTGAGTGAACCACAGCACACTCAGGATGAAATGGCCTGAGCTCTAGCTCCCTGGGGACCAGGTGGCAGGGGCCCGGGGCCCACCCAGCGGCCCTCCTTCAGGGTCCTGGCTCCAGGCTGTGCAGGGAGCAGTTGCATTTGAGGATAGCAATACTGGAACGTCGCGTTGGTGGCAGTGAGGAAACTGCTCAGTGCCTTCGAGGCTGTGCTTGCAATAAAGAGAATTTCTGTGAGAGTCAGTCTACAGAAGAGGGAACCGGTGATGCAGAAAGAGACGTGTTTTGGTAATTGACCCCCAGATGTGCCATCCGCATAGTGCTTTTTCCTCTCGCCCTTTGGCTTGTTTGAATTTCACAATTATGTATTTAATTCTCAGAGTAATATGTATCTGTAGCCGTTTGTTGACACTAATAACAGATGATTAAGGAAAACAGCTGATCTTCGGGGAAGGGGAGATACGAATACTTTATACACACTCACTATATATATATATATATATATAATACATGTATATTATATATATATAATTTGCTTTACAGGGAAATTTTTCAGGGTTTACAAAAGAATATGTGATTGGTAGTAAAAGACACAGAATGTTTATGAAAAAATTGCATTTTCTTTTTTCTTTACATTTGAACTTCTTTATAGTTGAAATATACAGTCTTGAGATGGCACATTCCTACAATTGAAGAAGGGGTCTTGAGATCCCCTAAACTTGCATACCCAGTTTTTTGGATATTGTAATAAAAAAGAAGTATTATGACAAGACTGTGTGTGTATTTATCTTGGGGGAAAAATTGACTCAATTATGGGTGAATAATGACGGCAGTGTTTTATTAAACCTTCATCACCAAAAGGACATCCTTTAGTGCATTTAACTCTTACACATTTTCTTTTTTCTACTGCTGCATTTTTGTATATTGAAATACTAAGCTCTAATTAGTTGAACTCCCATGAGAACCCAGAATGTCAAACTTGATCTTTACTCTTTGGAAATTATTGGCTAAGAAATATGTTTCACTGGACTGTTGTCAGCCAGAGTTCTCACACTCGGTGGCCCTGCCAGCTGACATTTCACTTGGCTCAATCTGTTTATTGTTCGGTAAGCTACAATGTGCCAGGCACAGGGAATGTGCTCACGTAACGTGGGGTGTGTGCAGGCATGGCCCGCGCACAGAGTGCTCTCCCTCTGTGCCAGGCAGAGTGTCACTGTTGGCCTTAGCACAGTCCTGTGCGGTGCCTCATACTGTCACCCCCATTTTGCAGATGGAGACAGGCACAAAACGTTCCAAGGCACATGGCCACTGCAGGGACAAGTATGGATGCCAACTCAGGATTCTACTCTGGGGCCCCCTCCCTTTCCATCCCCAGTCTAGGCAGAAATTCTAGAGGAATGAGGTATTTCCTGAGAGTTTGCACTTACTCTGCCATTCGTGCTTCCTTGAGTTTGCTGTTATCTCTTTTTGCTTTGAGTTATAATCTATTAGAAGTTGGGCGTCTGGTACCTGAAATTGGCAGCACCCAGTTATAGCAAATAGACTTCCAATTATTACCTCAGATAGGTCCATTCTCTACCTTATCCATAGAGAAGCAATTCCTGTGCACATCCAGGTCTCACTGGTGTTTATTACATTTTGGCCCTCTAGAATCTCTCTAAATAATGAGGCTCTTGTTTTATAGGTGATTGAGGAAGAAATGAGCAACTAAAGGACAAAAGACAGCTGCACATTTTGGCTTCAGGAACTTAAAGGCTCATGATGTAGCTCACAGCAGTGTTTTGTAACAAACTGCTTTGTGAGAGTCCTCCAGCTATGAGGTAGATCAGGACTAGATTTTTTTTTTTTTTTAAACAGGTACCCTGGGACACTGGCAGCAGGATGTCAAAACAAGATTTACATGTGATGTGGAATGTGGATCACTGATGCTCCACCCAGGTGGCAATATTGCCATCAACCTTCCTGATTGTCCAGAGATTTCCTGGGCAAATCTTGTTTTCCTGTCCTGTTGCCTCTTTGCAGGAACAGCACACAACTATAAAGGTCAGTCACTCTGGGGTTGGGTAATTTTGGTCACTTGTTTACATCCCTGTGTGCCTTTATTTTACACAAGCCAATACAATAATAATTTGTTTTTAAGTTTCTTTTTAGATAATATAACAATAGAGTCATACGAAGAGTATAAATTAGGATCCCTTTTTTTGGGGGGGGTGGTGTGGTGAGCCGCTTCTGCCGTTTCTGCAGATTATGGTCGCCATTACAAGATGGCGCTGGCTCCGCTGTGGTCTGTGACAAACAATTTCTTATCTGGGAAAGTTGGCACATGATTTTTCATCACCCTGTGAGAAAGTTCCACGCGGCAGCTTTGCATTGGGGCTTGGGATGCTTTATTAAGGCTGGGAGGGGCACCCGAGGGAGAAGAAGAAATATCCAGGGACCTGAATAAAACTGTTGAGAGAAGATTCTCGAATTGCGTCTTCCTTGCGGGCAAGGGGGTCGCGACAAGTGGCGCCGAGACCCGGGAACCAGAACTTTCAACAGTCAGGGGTGGTGCACCGGTTAGTCCCAGGTAAGTGGGATCCGCGACCAAAGCGGGGTTAGTCCCTAGTAAGTGGGATCCGCGACCAACGCGGGACAGCTCCTCTGTAATGAAAGAGAGAGCCTTATATTTTATTGCAGCTGCACTGTGTACTTTCGCTCCTACTTTAGCTTTCTTTTTTTTGTGCTTTCTTTGTTGTTGCGTCATGGGTGCCGCATCTTCAAGTCCGCTTCTCCTGGCCCTAGATGGCCTGTTACGTTCCAAGGGACTGGAAGTGAAACACAGTACTTTACAGAGATTTTTACAGAAGATAGATATCGCTGCACCGTGGTTTGCATTTTCGGGCAGCCTTACTGTGCCTAGTTGGGATAAATTAGGCAAAGATCTTGACTTTGCTTCTGAGCAGGGCATATTAGAGGGTGGGGTGATACCCCTTTGGAAAATGGTCCGTAGTTGCCTTACAGATGATAGATGTCAGGAAGCACTTACTAAAGGACAGGAGGTTTTAGAGCGATTGCATGAGGAAAAATCGGAGATGGCAGAAAGTGAAGCGACTCGGGAGGATGGGAGTGTGCAGAGCATGAGACGGGGGAGGAAACGGTTGTATCCAGATCTCAGTACGCTGCGTACACCCCCATGCGAAAGTGGGTCAGAGGAGGAGGAGGATGAGGAGGAAGAGCTCGAGAGGCTGTCTCGTCAGCTAGGGAGTTTAGCTGTAGGAGAAGGGAACACAGATAAGCAAGGGCTCAAGAAAAGCCATCCCCCGGATCCACCGCCGGATGGCGGGGGCGTTTCGGGAAGAGCTTTCCATGCCCAAACATGGAGGGCTGTTCACGCTGAGATGGGTCTTGCTTATCCAGTTTTTCAGGATGACAACAGGGGAAGAGTCCATGAACCCTTAGATTTTAAAATTGTGAAGACCCTGGCGGAGTCTGTACGCACTTATGGGGTGGATGCCGCCTTCACGCTGACTCAGGTGGAAAATCTGTCTAGATACTGTATGACTCCCTCTGATTGGGCTAGCCTTGTTCGGGCTTGCGTTTCCCCGGGTAAATATTTGGACTGGAGAGCATTCGTGCTAGAGGGCGCAATAGAGCAGGCCGCCCAAAACCATGCAGCGGGACGCCCCCATTGGGACAAGGATATGCTCTTGGGACAGGGTAGATTTGCAAATCAACAGACAGGATTTCCTCTTGAGGCATATGATCAAATTAACAATATTTGTATTCGGGCATGGAAGTCGCTTCCAAATAGAGGAGAGGTGTCTGGCAATTTGACCAAGATTCTACAAGGCCCTACAGAACCTTTTTCAGATTTTGTAGCAAGGATGGTGGATGCTGCTGGAAAGATTTTTGGGGATCCTGATAGAGCCATGCCCCTTATCAAGCAATTGGTCTTTGAACAATGCACCAAGGAATGTAAAGCGGCAATCACTCCTTATAAAAATAAGGGCATAGAAGCATGGATGAAAGTGTGTAGAGAGATTGGAGGACCTTTAACTAATGCAGGTCTTGCAGCTGCTGTCCTTCGGGTGGCAAAAGGGGGCAATCCTGGTGCCGGAACATGCTTCCATTGTGGTCAGCCCGGTCATTTCAGACGTGAATGTCCTAAAAAAGATAATTTTACTGGACCCCCTCACGGTGGCCCTTCCAATGGCTTTCGTCAACCAGGGCTGTGTCCAAAATGTAAAAAAGGGAAGCATTGGGCAAAAGAGTGTAGATCAATGAGGGACATCCATGGACAGCCTATTTCAGCTGGGCCAAAAAACGGCCGAAGGGGCCCCCGACCCCAGGGCCCACAAATATATGGGGCAATGGAGAATGTCACACCCAAACCCGAGACATGGCCATCTCTACGCCATCCCATGAGACGCGGAGAGCCACTACAGGTGCCGCGGGATTGGACCTCTGTTCCACCTCCAGACTCGTATTAACACCTAAGATGGGAGTCCAATTGGTGGAAACTGAGTTCAAAGGGCCTTTACCGCCTGGCACTGTAGGTTTGCTAATTGGACGTGCATCTTCTACTTTGCAAGGTCTTCATGTCTTTCCTGGAGTTATTAGCCCTGATACTGTAGGGACAATAAAAGTTATGGTGGAAGCTCCAAGGGGCATTGTATCTATTTCCCCAGGAGACCGGATTGCCCAATTGGTACTTCTGCCCAGCCTGCATACCCGCTTTTCTGCTGATTCCTTTTCAAGGACAAGTGATGAGATTGGAGTTACTGGAGGGAATTCTGTTTATTTGTCCTTAGATATGAATGACCGTCCTACTTTAAACTTAACCATAGAAGGCAAATCAATTTTGGGATTGCTCGATACTGGAGCAGATCGTAGTATAATTGCACAAAAGGACTGGTCAAAGGGGTGGCCAGTGCAGCTCTCAGATCAATCACTGAGAGGTTTGGGATATGCCCAAGCCCCTCAAATCAGCTGTAGACATCTATCTTGGAAGGACCCAGAAGGACACAATGGCACTTTTCAGCCTTATGTACTTGATTTACCTATCTCTTTATGGGGTCGTGATCTGATGAAAGACATGGGGTTCACTCTTAGTAATGACTATTCCCCGGCGTCTCAACAGATTATGCAAAATATGGGGTATAGGCCAGGTCTAGGACTAGGAAAACATCTACAGGGGCGTAGGCATCCTGTGCAAGGTCATCAAAAGCTTAACAGATTTGGTCTGGGTTTTTCCTAGGGGCCACTGGGGCTCAAATACCCATAACATGGCTCACCGAGGAGCCTGTTTGGGTGCCTCAGTGGCCTCTTCCCTCGGTTAAATTGGCAGCAGCCCATAATTTAATCAAAGAACAACTGGACTTGGGTCACATCCAACCTTCCACTTCTCCATGGAATACTCCCATATTTGTTATTAGGAAAAAATCAGGAAAGTGGCGCCTACTGCATGATTTACGAGCAGTTAATGCTCAAATGCAACTTATGGGGCCCATTCAAAGAGGGCTGCCTCTGCTCTCCTCTATTCCTCAGGGCTGGCATATTATTGCTATTGACATTAAAGACTGTTTCTTTTCTATTCCTTTGCATCCTAAAGACTCACAACGTTTTGCTTTCACCCTTCCCTCGTGTAACCACGAGGAGCCAGATCTTAGGTTTGAGTGGGTAGTGTTGCCGCAGGGAATGGCTAATAGTCCCACGATGTGCCAGATGTATGTGGGGAAGGCACTCGCACCTCTCAGACATAAGTATTCCTCCATCAAGATCATTCATT